TTTTTTTYYTTTTTTGTATCTGTCTGCAGGCTTGCAAATTCTATTCTTGTCAAAGCCTAATTTAGGGTCTTGTTTACCTCATTCACTGTTTCAAATGTTAAAGGTTCTGCAGTCAAATTACATCCTCAGAAAAATGTCTTAAGTCAAAAATTASTTTCTGGTTTTAAGTGAGAATGCAAGCGTAATAACTCTAATTAAAATGCATTGTCATATTTCYTAATAATTAAGAATTTTTAAAAACATTTTTGCTGTAGATTTCTGAACAGATAGTAGTAGTTCAGATCATTTGCTATGGAGTCATTTAAGACATGAAATAAAAAGGAAACCAAAGTTGGATTCCGTGGAGAAAATACTTTCCATTAATACAAGGGGTTTTTTGTCATATATAGTCTTTTCCATATAGATAAAATGGAAAAAAAAAAAAAAACATATAGGGAAAGATGTGAAGAAAAAGCTGGAAAAAAAAAATTTCACCACCTGTTAGCTAAAGAATAAGCTAATTCATGTCCCAGTGAAATCCATGCTGTTCCTGTTAACTTTGGTTCACTGAGTGTAGTTCTGGCTCTGTGACCATGCCAGTTTTTTCAAACTGCTAAAATCAGCCTGTGAAGTAGAAAGATTTTAATATTTAGGAATATTTAAAACTGGGCCTCTCCATAGAAGACTGAAATATAGAGAAGGATTCAGAGAAGAGGCTGTGCTGTGAGTTTGTTGCCTTGCAAAGTGATTAGAGGCTGTAAAAGTGTCCTGCAGGACATTTCTTCTTTTTTAGGAAGAAGAATTTCTGTGTAGCCATTGCTGTCTTGAAAGTTTATTGATGATTTCTTCATACAGAAATGATTCCATATCACTGATCATTCCCTCAATTTGAATTYTTTCCCTAATCCTAATATTTTAGTTTCTTTTTAAAGCTTAAATCTGTACACAGTACTGAAGATTAGTGTGCTGCTATTTGTAAAATACATCATGATTTTTCATTTTTAATTTTTGCTCCTTGCTCATTTTAATTCCTAGCATTTTGCTTGCAGGGACTTTGGCAGGGTTTTATTGAGCATTAGGATATTTTCATAATTGCCCTAGTTTTTGGAAGTAACTTGCAAATCTCTTTCTTAACTGGCAGCAACTTTTGTAGCTATCATGTTTAGATAATGTAGATTGATTTTCTCTCTTTAATTTCTGTGAATGTTTTCACAAGGTCAAGTTTGCAGTGAGAGGACTAAAATGTGCTAACAAAGAAAGCAATAAGGAAAAAAAATAGTTTTATGARCAGCTCTCTGAGACCTGTGGGTTTTTTTTTTTAATTCAGTTTCTAAAAAAATTACAGTAATAATCTTTTTCCTACCTCTTTCACCCACTGTTTTTTTGAAAGAATTTGGAAGGAATTCTGATTTGTGATTCTAAAAGCTGTGCCRTCCAGACCTAGAAAAAAATATGAAGAGTAGCTCATCTTTTCACTGGGTGTGTATGCAAACTTCTTGAAGATAGGATGTATCTTTTCCCAGCTGTGGAGAGTTTAACAGTTTGTGTATTGTGGTGAAGAGCACCATTGGAAGAAGCCTATTTCAAAATTCTGTTTCATTGCTGAAGTTGATTTGTTTGTGTGATRCCATGGGGGAATTTGTAATTCAGTGCAAGATGGTCTGTCAGCACCAAGGAGCAGTGAAATGCACTTTCTGTAGTATCCTCTTGGAATTCTGCTCTGCCTTATAAAATTTCATATTCAGGGGTTACACTTTGCAAATCCCTCCTGGTGCACCAAGTTAWTCCATAAAGAGAGCATTTTCTGCCTTCCTTCTCGTGCCTGTGCATCATCATATCCACTATTTCAGCTTTCCCTGCTCACAG